TTTCCTTGAGACGAAATTTTTGTTTTCTTGAGTGTTTCCTAATTTGGTAATTCTGATGCGATTGAGGAAGAGTTTTTTTTTTTCCTTATTATTATTTATATTATTGGCTTGGAGTACCAGTTGTATATATAATATTTGCTTTCAATATTGCTTAGCATAATATATTGCATCACAAAAAATTTTTTATCAAAAAACCATAATCAGCTTAATTTTATTAACAAATTATTATTTCAAACTCAATCAATTAAATATTTTCAAATATTAAACCAAATTTGTATAATCAAAACAATATTCAAAAATTAATATAAACAAAACCAGTTTTGGTAACAATAGTCAAAACATAAATTATATCACTGATCAATATACCAATTACCTTATCAGCTATTAATTATATTAATATAACAATAACAATAACTACAATGACAAATCAAATCACATGTGCTTTATCATTTATATTAATAAAAATTATACTTAAAAGTCAAAAAAACTGAAAAAACAAGATAATAGTCTGATCAAAAGTTTTCTTGAAAATATTTTTTTTTTCTTATATATTTTATAGTTGTTTTAATTTTACTTTTATTTTTTTATTTTTGAATTTTTCTCATGTCCTAAATATTTTTTTTCAAGTAGATAAGCATAGCTACTCAGCCTATATTTAGCAACAATATTGATTTAAAATTTCTTTTCAGTATTAGTTATTTATAATATTCATAAGTAGGCTAGCATTTAACTTGTTGTAAGCTTTACACCCAAGAAATGTTGTTTCTTTTAAATATATACCTTGTAATATATGAATAAATAAAGAAATGGTGTTTATCTACAGAAATAATGATAATTATTATTAATCTTTTTGAAATTCTATTCAAATTTAAAGATCCTCGAAAATATATTTTGCTAAAAATCTTTCAAAAAAGTTGATATTTAATTATTTTTTTAAAGAGAAACTTGCCGTTATTAAAAAGAATCTACTGTACTCGTGAAAAAATTACAACTTGTGGTTCTTTTTTATGATTGTTAAATAATTATTTTGGAAATATAATATATAAAGTTATAATTTACTGTCCTTTTGTTTTATTATAAGACAAAACCATTTGCTGCAATATTTTGTAACCATTTTTATAATAGAAAAAAATGGGGTTGAATCGTTTTGATACACACGATACCGTATTCCTTTTCTTACTAATAACAATATTGTTCAATCTTGATATGTTGATTTGAAAATTTAATGCAATTTTCTTTTTAAACAATATTCAGATACGCATACTGTAATAACATTTAATTCTTTCAATATGCTCATATTTAACGATTTTCTTTCAATTTAATATAATCAGTCCAATAATAAATAAGACATAAGATGTTAATTTTTATGGTACTGTATCTATCTGTATCTTAGAGAAATCCTTGATATTGAGATAGGTAGCACCATTTTGTATTATACTGTCAATTAATAAGTTGTTTTGTGACTTCAAGCAAGGACTTATTTGCCATTACAAGAAGTAACAATTTTTTTAGAAGAGTTTGCAATTTACTTTCAAAATTTTATTGATTACATTGTTTTCGATAATGTTTGGTTTATTAGTAGCATAAGGTAATTTTATATCTACTTCATAATTATCATTATTTTAAGTTAAACAACAAGAATAACAAGACTTTTAGTAATAATTTTCATTTTTAAAAATATCAATTTATAAACATTCTAGACTTTCGAATTTTAAATAATTTATTAAGTGAAAAAAATAATATTAACAATAAAATTTATCTTGCTTCGCCATTTATTACAACCACCTCTACTTGATTCCAATCTTCGCCTTTTAGTCTTTACTTATTTTTCGATATACACCATCCTCAAATTTTTGCCTTGCAATCTCCATCAATTCCGGAAGTTCGCCACTTTCTTCGCACATCTTTCTGAATGCGGAATCAGGGTTTTGCATTAACGTGTAGGGCGCGTCGAATTCTATCACGTTTCCTGCGTCTAATTAACATAAAATAAAAAATCACTCAATCAAAAACAATCAATACAATATCGAATAGTGAGTGACAAAAATATGAAGATACTAACCCATCAACAATATCTTGTCATAATCTGCCACAGTCCTTAAACGATGTGCTATAGTTATTACTGTACTTTCATTAAAAGATTCCCGTATAGTGGTCTGAATCAAGTGATCCGTTCTAAAATCAACACTAGCCGTCGCTTCATCCAATATTATCAATTTTGAATGTCTGATTAATGCACGAGCCAATGCAATCAATTGTCGTTGACCTTGTGAAAAATTGTTGCCGTTCTCCTCGACTTGAGTATCAAGATTTAGTACTTGTCTTTTTTGTGTTGCGTCGACAGTAGTAGATTCTGATATTTCTAAAACGGTTTTTTCGGGATCCACAGCGGAGTTGATAAATTGGGACTCTTGGACTAGATTGGCTCCTTTTAGAGCGTTCCATATGCTGAGATCGTCGTGATCATTAAATGGATCAAGATTACTCCTGTTATATAGAAGACAAAGAATGAGTGAAATTCTAAAGAAAGATACTCATAAATATCTGACATTGAGTTCTTACCTTAATGTACCGTTGAACAATACAGGATCTTGTGGTATTATGGTAATCTTACTTCTAAGATCTCTTAGGCCTATAGTACTAATGTCTATTCCATCAAGTTCGATACTGCCAGAAGTTGGCTCCACGAATCTAAAGAATGACGTTGCCAACGTAGATTTGCCACAACCTAAAATTAGGTGACAAATTATGAATATAAATATTCGGACGTAAATGTCACGCATAAAAATGAAACACTAACCAGTTCTCCCAACAATTCCAATCTTTTCGGCCGCCTGAATGTCAAGCGAGATTCCATGTAATACAGGTGGATTTTTAGGTCCATATTGTACCACTAGATTTTTAATATGAATTTCACCCTTAGTAGGCCATTCTTGTGGTGGCCGGTTATCTGGAATTACGAGTTCTGCCTCCATTTCTAATTCTTCAGAGTAATACACCAAACGCTCTACCGCGTTCATATTTGCTTCCTAATGTGAAGAAAAAAAATTAGCTGGTAAAGAATTTTGAAAAAAAGATGTTTTAAGAACTTCAAAAAACACATACCACTTCAGCAGCCTGCCTCACACACCAATTAAAAACCCCCGTCACCTGGAGAGCGTAACTTAATACGAAACCTGCGATCGTGGGATGGACACTGGTTCGTTCGATGACTGAGAATAAACTTGCAAAAAAGATCAAAAGGTTTGCAATCGTCTCCAATCTGAGGCCAAGCCATCGTTGAATGCATATGGTTAGGAAATAGGCACGGTTCTCTTGGTCTATGAGTTTTTCATTGTCCCTGTAAAATAAAATACATAGGATGTGAGAACCCACAAAATCAATGTATTCGTAGTAAAAATTTCTCTAAAAATTACTTTATGAATCGCTCTTGTTCACGGTAAGCACGGATGGTCGGTAATCCGGTGAGTGACTCGGAAAAGTGGGCATACAATGATGAACGTAGTATAGAGTCAAGACCTATTAAACATATGATCATAAATATTATGTAATTCAACCCACTTTAAGAAACTTGGTAAAAAATTACTCACGCTTTAATTCACGATTTGTTGCCCGATAATAACTGGCAGCTATATAATAGAAGATCACTAGTGGAACCAACGGTATAATAAACCACGGAAATACCACACTGATTAGAATGAATGTTCCAATAACCACGGCCAGTGTGTTCATGAACATTCGGTAGGATTCAGAGAGCAAGTTATCACACGTGTCCACGTCTTTGCTGAATCTGGAAACAAAAGAACGCGATTTATAAACTACACTTGCGAAAAAGTTTTTGTTCACAAAAACTTTTTTACTTACCGATTGATAATCCTACCCAACGGAGTGGTATCAAAGAAACTAGTAGGTGCCCTCAACACTCGTCTTATGGCGTTATCATGTAACTTCATTGCTGCGCGAACACCTGAAACCGAGAATACCACGCCGGAAATCAAACTGAAAACAGCCGAGGATACTCCCCATAGACAATAAATTCCTATCTGAACAAATGAAAAAAAGGAAAGGGGTGAATAACGCCATAGAGATGGTGACAAAAATAATTTTTTTTTAATAGTGCAATGTAATGAAATAAATCAAAATCTGCTTACATATGCTCCATACGACAAATGGAATTGATCGCTCGACCAGTACGAGAGCCACAAGGTATTGCTATTTTAAATTTTATGACAAAAATGAAAATCAATTTTTCACCCTAAAGGGTTTATCAAACTTTATCGAAGAATAATAATTCAACGTACCCAATGTTAGATCCTTGCATGCCCACCAATATAACAAATACCGTTGGTACCAAAATTAAACCCCCAGCCGCTCTCAGATACGATATATAAACTTTGTTATTCACTGCTCCCGTGGATCGTTCTTCCGTCGTCATCAATCCTTTCCCAGCAAGTACAATTTTCTTATCTTTCACGTCAGTTTTCTTTTCAGAACTATCCTCTATTTCCTCTGCTTTCGCTTCATCCTCATCTTCATCACCCTCTCCGTATTCGTTTATAAGTTTGTAAAATCCTTTACCGTCTTTCATTAACTCCTCATAGGTACCTTGTTCGGCGACTTCACCATCTTCCATATATATTATGTAATCGACATTTTGGAGGATGCCCAATTTATGGGTTACGAGGATTCTGGTTTTGGACTTTAGGGAACCGCAAATGCAGTTTTCGAACAGGGAATTGCCAACATGAGCATCTACGGCCTATGGGCGAGAAATGAGTTATGATTAGACGGATAGAATAATTAGAAACATGTACGCGCCAAAAAAACTTACAGATAGTGGGTCATCAAGCAATACGATATCTGCATTATAATATACTGATCTGGCGATGTTAACACGTTGTTTTTGCCTGAAGGTTCAATAAATTAGCAAAAATATTATCACGACAAACATAAATAGGGAAAAAAAAAAAGGCAACATTCACCCTCCGGATAAATTAATTCCTTTTTCACCGATTTCAGTTTGATCCCCTGACGGTAAGATCTCCAAATCCGGTTCTAAACAACAATCCTTGATTATTTGTCGATACCTTTCTTCGTCAAATGGCAATCCAAAGATTACATTATTCCTTAATGTGGCATTCTGAATCCAGGCGGTTTGCGGACAGTATCCCACACTTCCACCAAACGTAATCTCCCCACTTATTTTTTTCATCTCTCCAACCAACGCCGAGAGTAATGATGTTTTTCCGGATCCTACTGGACCCACGACAGCCACCAATGCACCACGAGGTATAGTGATATTGATATTTCGGAGGTGTGATAATGGCTTAAGCGGTTGCACATTCTCCAGGTGAGCTGCCGAATCAGCGGGTGTGAGAGTGTCAGAGGTTTCAGATTTATCGTCCCTTTTTTCGATAATGGTTATTTCCTCGAGGTGTTTCTTTTCATTCTTACTGCTGCCCTCGTCCGCAACCTTGTCTTTTTCCTTTTCAAGGTCGAACCTCGACTTTTTGCTCCGATAACCTCCCGGATACAAGATCACTAGAATTAAGAAAATAATCAAAGGATCTATTTTTTTTGAGAAGAGATCTTTTCTTTAACCTTTTGAAATTGTTCTGGTGGTAGCTTCGATCTTGTATTTAATGTTCAACAGTTTATCTTCGAGGAATAAGTAAAGTCTTTCGGCAGTACTTCAAATCAGACTTGTTTAAACGAATTATAAAATTCTTTTTTGTCTATTCCTCGCGTTATTTAACTCGAATAAAAAAAAAACAAAAAAAATAGTGTTGTATCTTATACGTAGTATCAAATAATACAAACTACATCGACATCGATCGATTGAGTGATTGAATGTTTCGATTATTTCATTTCTGATCTTCGATGTTTAAATACATACACATATCATATCATATGGTTAAACTTTAAGTACTAATTAAGATTTCGCTAAGTAATTTCTTTTTAATAATATATACACATATAACGAATAATTCAATACTTCTATAATTCCCAATTGTTTAAGACTTTGACAGAAAAAAAATTTTTTTTGTTAAAGAACAAATATGAACTTCTTCAAGTCAAAACCTTCCCCACCGGCATACGAGACTGTCATCCCTGAAGAAAATGCCAACTTCCTTTCTCGTATCATATTTTGGTGGGTCGGTGACCTGATGCGTCTTGGTTACAAACGTCCCTTGGAAAAAGAAGATCTCTACTTGATGAATGATAGGCGATTAACTGAAAACTTGGCGGTCAAGTTTGATGTTGAATGGAAAAAGGAGCTAAACAAAGTGGGCACGAAGAAAAATCCATCATTGTGGAAGGCGTTAAACAGGACTGTGGGACGGAAATTTTGGATTGGTGGATTCTATAGACTATGTGGTGATGCTCTACAAGTTACCTCACCGTTGATGATTCAGGTAAAAAATACATCACGATTCACCGAGTCACGTGACATAGCAATGGTTTCTTCACTTCGTTCGCGCATAATTAAAAGAAATTCACCATACTTTTTGTTTTCTCTCGATAATAGAAAATTCTAATATTCGTAGCAACTGCATACTTTTCCAATATATTCAAATTTCCGGAACCCAAAGCCTCCGATGGTTATATTTACATCGTTGGTCTCTTCTTAATGCAAATGGGTTACACCTTCTTCAATAATTCCTTCTTTTACAAATCTATGGAAACTGGATTTCTTGTCCGTTCCATACTTATTAACGCCATCTATCGGAAAGCTATGGTGCTCAGTGGAAAAGCACGCGCTTTATTCACAGTCGGAAAAATCACGAATATGATGTCCACCGACCCGACGCGTTTAGATTTTGCAGCTGGTTATGTGCACATAATGTGGGCTGCCCCTTTAGAAACTTTTGTCGCTCTTGGACTATTGATCAAAAATCTCGGGGTAAGTGCTTTAGCAGGGTTTGCTCTACTAATTGTTATGGGACCTGTTCAAGGAAAAGTTATGAAATCATTGCAAAACGGACGCAAAAAAGCACTTAAACTCACCGATGAACGCGTGAAATTGACGCAAGAAATACTACAAGGTATTCGAGTGATAAAATACTATGCGTGGGAAGAAAGTTTTTTGGATACGTTAAGTAAATTGAGAACTAAGGAAATTAAATACACGAGATTCTTGTTGATCATGAGATCCTGGATTATGGGCTTTTCAATGGTAGGTCGCCTAGTTATTGATCCTGTATCCTAGCACGTTTTTCGTACCGAAATAACAAACAAATTTACAACCCACCATTAATCAGGTGCTCCCAGTATTTGCCAGCATTCTATCATTCGTCGTCTACTCCCTCCGCGGCGGAGAGCTCACAGCTGATATCGTGTTCTCTTCGGTAGCCCTATTTAATATCATCCGCTTGCCCCTCATG